TAGAGTTTGCTCTGTTTATAAAATTCATTATATCTCATAAACGAAGACAGATAGGACATATATTTATATGACTTTTTTTCATTATTTCCAGGCGTACAATCAGCTCCCAAAATGGGTTCCAAAAGTTACGAAACACCCTGTATATTTTTAAGTGATTCTGATTTTATTTCAAACTGTTCAGATGGTTTTATTCATAATCATTTCATGTATGAAATAATTTAGTTTAATTTTGTAATAATATATTGATATGTGGATTCCAGTGGACACTGATGAATTTTAGAAAATAATTATTTGCTACTCAAAATAACGATAATTATTTTATTGGCTGTCAATGAAGTACATAACACGTGAACATATTAAATTGTTTGTAAAATATCAGAGATGTTTAATCTCTAGATTTTTCATCAGAAACGAAAGGCTCTCTTACCGTATATTTATGTTGAAAAAAGGTTATTAGTAAAAATATTGACGAAAAGGAAATTGCACAAACTCATAGGAGGGCAGAATTAGAGGTAAACAGACAGTTTGGAGTTGTAATTTACTTTTTATTTTATTTTGGTTTAAATAAGACTTTTTATATTTTTGTACGTGTGAGTAGTATACGTTTATACGTGAATGTGTGTATGTATGTGTGCCTGAGTACGTGTAACTGTGTGCACATATACACATTTATACAATTCAAAAATGGATTGTTCTAATAAAGTCTAAAAAGGAGTCTTAACATAAGTCTCCGTATTCCATTTACAATGGAACATTGTTGCTTGTAACTGTAGCAAAACCGTACTTTTAGCAGGATAATCGTGCGCATTAAATTACGAGGATATACTCGTTGAAAAAAACAAAAAAAAGAAAAATACTTATCGTCGTTTGACATAATTGTAAATTATTCTCAATCACAAAGAATAGCTCCGTCGCTGTAACGTGAATATAAATGTAATCGCACAACAAAAATCGTTTTTTTATCGATTGTATCTCGACTTGAAACGAAAAATCAGGATAACGTTTGCAATCAAACGTTCGTTATCCCCGTAATCGCGAAAGAAATGACACAAATACCCGAATAAAGGAGAAAATGAACGGTCTGCTCACGAAAATCCAGACTACAAGAGATCACGAGGATCACTTTTGGACCGCGTAGCAAGCAACAGTTGTAGTATGCTATGTTCTATAATATTAGTATATTAGTGTATACGAAAAACTAAAAGAACGGTTCTGCTCTGAAATTTTCCCTGTTATACAGTTCGAAAGTAATTCCTTAACTTATCTGCGTCACATGCCCTGAACTGAATTTCATTTCTCGTCGGTTCCTTTGTTCCTTTGTTCCTTTGCCGGTAAGACTTTTAAGCCACTTTCAAACGTTCAAGCGATTGTTTCGAGGTGATCAACCATTGGGTAATAGGATACCTACCTTATTTAATAAAGATGTAGTGAGAACGTTCTTGGTTATTAACAGTCAACAAGAGAGAAAGAGAGAGAGAGAGAGAGAGAGAGAGAGAGATATCTACGAGAAGGAAATTCAACATTTAAGACACACTTGGTGGACACACTTATCAACGAATTAATCGAGTTACCGAAACCTTTTCTCTTTTCTTTTCTTTTCTTCGTTACATGAAAAACGTATTCCTCATCGTTCACTTGAACAAAACATTTCAGTTTGTTAAGACGCTCGTAATATCACGTATATATATATATATACATATATATATACATATATACGTTAGAATTTTGCTTCTGTTCGCAGTTATTAGAGAAGTTCTCACTAATTCTTTTACAAAAAAATTATTATTATCCCATACCTCGTCTTAATAACTACTTAACGCTACCTGATGAAAAGTCTATCGCCCGAAGCGACCGTACGACTCGGTTTCATATATTTGAAATGCAGTATCTTTCTTTCTTTTTTTTTTTTCTTTTTCCTTTTTTCTGCTTTCTTTAATTCTCATAATAAAATATTACTTTATACATTTCGTAAACGCCTGTAAGGCCGCGTATGCATAATCACGCTACCATAACGCGAGCACATGCACTGTAGAACTAGTTATTGTACCACGATGAAAGAATAAATTATTATTACCCGAATGGCAAAAACGTGCCGATAGATATACGTGTATATATATCATATGTGTATATATTAAGACGCAAGACAAATGGTATAATAATTCATACATAGATATCCGATCTTTTTTTTTTTTTTTTCCCTTTTTCTTAAATACTGGAGAATGGAATCCTCTTTTTTTCTTTTTCTTTTTTTTTTTTTTGTTTTTTGTTTTTTTGTTTGTATATTTGCTCGAAGAAAATACTTTGAAACTTCTTTTGTCTCGATACGAAGGCCCCGTACAGTCACAAGTGTAATGCTCTAAGTAAAAATTCGGAAACTAACTTGCTTGAGTGTACGAGCGATTTTCTAGAAAATTGCTTATATCGTGGAGTTACATGCACTTTAATTCGTTTTTTCATTCTTTTCTTTTTTTTTTTCTTTTTTTTTTTTTTCTTTTCGTGAATCTTATATCTCGTTAATCTTTATACGTCTTACAGCTCGGTCTCAACGTCTCAAATAAAAGACTCGGGATTGTTGCAATTTCGTTACGATTGGTTAATAGCCTTGGTAAATAATCGAGGAAGAATTAGTTAGTTACAATATCCATGTATGACTGCATGATGCTGTTAGTTAGGCTATAATATACAGTACAACTCCGTATAACGCTTGCTGAATCGGTAATATTAGTATCGCTTCGCTGTCGCGCAAAACTGAGTGGCTGATCAACCGACTGAAAAACCAATTAAACCAATTAAACACCGACAGCGACGATCGATCAACTCGCGATCTGAATTCTCATTCCTTTTCTCATTTTCACTCTCTGGTCAGCTGTGACATCCGCTGACCGTCCGTTACGTTCACATTCTAACGCGATTAGCGCAATTATTGACACTCTGTATACGCGTGCGTGACCATAAATTTTAGAGGTATAAAAAAGCACGTTATTGCTTCGAACAAACAAGAGCAGTGTTTGCAATTGACCCGCTGCGCTTGTCCCCAATCTGCATCGTTGCGTTGCATGATTTATTCGTGAACGTACAAACGTACAAACGCTTCCCCGAATTTCTCTCGAAAATTATATAACGTTTCGCGTGTCAACGCGACAATCGGTTACACGCACAGTTACGTTACGTCGGGAGAGAATTTTTTTTGTTCTTACGAGTCTCTTGCAAGACACGGAACGTGTTATACGCCTGCTGTGTTATACAGAGTGTTACTGTAACGTAATAGCAGTGCAAATAAATTGAAAATTGTATCGTTAGACTCAACATACACGCACGCACGCACACGCTATGGGAACGGAGGTTATTAACCTATTTGTAGCTCGAAAAGTTCATAAAATTCAGGTTCATCATCACAGAAAAGCTATATATATATATATATGTATATATATATACATACATATATATATATATATATATATACGGCTGTTTATATATACATATGTCTTTAAAACCTTTGCACGCACAAACGTACATGATCCAAAAGGAAAACTGTGGTAACTAAATTGAAAACGGCTAATCGAGTATATTTAGTTTCGCATTACTTGATTAATCTCACTTTTTGTCTTTGTTCGATCGACAAAACTACAAAAGATAGGCATAAACGTTACTACTAAGAAAAAAAAAAAGGAAAAAAAAAAGGATGTGAAGGCGACTTCTGGTTGTTTCCACGTAATCGACAATTCAAAGGCAACCGAACAGCGAAAAGATATTCGACTAACACACTTTTTTTTTTCTTTTTTTTTTCAATATTTCACGTTGCGGATATATCTTGCACGTTTTATATTTACAATGATATCTTTGGCGTTGTTTGGAAATAATTTGCCAGATTTTCCTACACAATCGAATGAATGGGGGTTTCGCGCCCGAAAGGAACGTCTTTTTTTTTTCTTTCTTTCTTTCTTTTTTTCTGCTTTTTCCATTAACTTTCCCTTGAGAGAACGTATCGGTGAAAAAGTTACAGACGAATTTTCAGTTTTTAACCCTAAGAGGAATAAGAATGGCTGAACGTTTATCAAATTATCGCTTTTTTTTTACCTATTTATCCTGAGATTCAAACTTTTCTTAATTATCAATCACACTTAACGTTTGAAACCGATTCGCGAAGTGTGTGTGCACTTTATTGCTAAAGCAAGCTTACTTCAAGTTTAATACGTTACTTTTTATTGTTAACATGGTTCTATGACTAATCCGTAAACTTCTGTTCCTCGTTACATTTCTTTTTTATTTTACTTTTTTTTTTTTTTTTTTTCCTCTTTCTGCCCTTTAGCGTTATTAATAGTTACTTCGAACGTTTCGTGTGAAATTAGCATCCTCGCCCTCACTCTTGTATAACAACATCATCGCTAGCGTGATTACTGATTTCTGCGTAGTACAAAGTGAATTACAAGACTCGTGTAAATATCATCAGGATGTTAAATGATCGAATAAGTCGTGATCGTATGGAACTCATTGATTCGCTATTCGATCGAATTTACATAATGTATGTAAACGTATCGGCATAATTCTTTTCACAGATCGTTCGTAACACTATATATCTTTGAACGATATTATCAATGATCGATCTCTCCCCCCGTTTTTTTTTTTTTTTTTTTTTTTTTTGTACGTCGTTCATCGATTTTAAACACGCGCGAAACTTAAAGGACGTGCAGATCCCCTAATGAAGGAAGGAACATCGTTTCCTTCCCCCATTTTCTTCTTCGATAAATCACGACGTAAAAACTGCTTCGATCAGCTCGCACGCACGTTTTTAATCTACGAAGGAACCACGAACGATATTATAATAAATCGTAATTGTTGAAAATGTAAAACACGCGGCTGGTATTAATTAGCGTAAACGCGGGAAAAAGATACCGCTGTAAAACTAATTGCACAGATGCTAATTGCAATTCCTTTTGGTTGGAAGTGTTACGTTTCCATAAATTCCGTTGAATCGATAATAGATCGATGTAATGTATATTGGTAATTATCGTGTCATCGACGATCGTAGTAGTACTTCTTCTTCTTCTTCTTTTTTTTTCCTTTTTTTCTTTTTTTCCGTTTTTTTTTCTGTTTTCTTCTTGAAAATGATCAGACGACGGCCGTTCTCGTTCAGACTCTGTTCACGTTTGCGAAATCCTTGTCCGTTTCCTCCTTCCTCGAGCCGTTCAAGCACTTCCGGTACAGGCTAATTAAAGGCATCGCCAGCAACAGGACGCCGCTCAACGCGATGAAAAAACCGGCCAAGTAAAACGACAAATCGTACGTCCCTGTGATATCGTACAGCCACCCTGAAACATTTCGAAACGGTTAAGCATCAGTATGTTCGGCAAGATGGTGCGCGCGGCGCGTTCGTCCGAATTTCCCTCGGATTGCCAGACAACGTTTGAAAGTTTGGCCGTAATTACGCGAGAACGGTCTCGATCCGAGGCCGTGGAAACTTCAAAGCTATTATACGATCGTATAATTCATACAGAGTTCCCGAGTTAGCATCGGGCAAGAGTTACTGCCAATTTATCTTATTACACACCCCTCCCTGTTTTCTCTGCAAACTACAATTGTTTCAAGCGTAATCGTAGCTCGTATCTCTGGCAAGAAAATTAGAAACAAAGATAATCTCCAAATGACGTATGTTTGTCAAAATGTGTTGCGTTGTAATTTTACTGATATATATCATAATGTGTTCTAATGTTTAAAGATTAGCCAGTACGTAAATTGCAAGCTTTTGTCAAGATTGTGGCATTATGATAGGCAATAATTGATGATATTATCAAATGTTAGATATTATAATACTGTCATAGATAATTGATGATATTATCAAATGTTGGATATTATAATACTGTCATAGATAATTGATGATATTATCAAATGTTAGATATTATAATACTGTCATAGATAATTGATTATATTATCAAATGTTAGATATTATAATACTGCCATAGATAATTAATGATATTATCAAATGTTGGATATTATGATACTACCATAGATAATTGATGATATTATCAAATATTAGATATTATAATATTATCATAAATAAATATCATAATTATTCAGAAATATTGACATATGTATAATGAAACACATCATTTTAATATTAATATCTTTGATGCTCTTATTAACTTTACTGCACACGAAGATAACGTTTATTTTCTACATTGCTTGATTAAATAAAGTAAGATCAATTACTCCTGTATTACACAGAGTCATAAATATTACGGAAGAAGTGTATCAGACACTTCATGGGAAAGTGAATAGCTGATAGAAGAGTTCCCTCTTACCAGCCAATGGAGGACCCATAAGATTTGCAACACCCTGGACCAAGAGCAGAAGGCCGTACGCGTTTGTGAATCTTTCCAGCGTGATCAATTCGACGAGGATGATGCTGGTAAGACTATAGTTCGCCCCGATGAACAATCCAAAAGCACCAGAGATTGCGCACAAAGTATAGTAACTGCCAACTACCATGGGTATTAAAGCTGTCACCGCGCCGCAGAGTGCCATGCATACTGCATACACGATGGACGCGTTCACCCATGCTCTGTCACCTGCCCAACCAAGCAGAATCTGAAAAATAATTTTAAAAGCTGTTTATCAGAGCTCGAGGAGTGAAATCTTAATAAAGAGAGACCTCTTTTCCCGGGCCTCTCTCTTGGGGAAAATTACTTTTCTGTCTTGAAGTTCTAGAAGGTTCTTTAAGGCAATTGCATTAACTCGGTGCATACAAAACGCCGTTTCTTTGAAGTTGAAGAGGAAGAAATTTTTTTTATACCTCATTTACGTATATTCATTACGTATATTACGTATAATAAAAGTAATCTTATCGTCACATTCTTACCATTTCCTTGCATAAGTTTGTTTACTATTCTTTAACAATGATTAGTGATAATTATTGTTCTTTGAGTAGAAAAAGTGTGTCCTGAATATTGATGGATGGAGACACTTGCAACAGATTCGGAAAAGATTAAAGATATCTTCTGTTCTGTCGAATTTTAATGCGTAGATTAATTAGAGGCTGAAATAAAAAATATTGCAACAGCATCGTTACACGAATTTTTGACTTTGATAATCACGTTGATAATTCTTTGAACCAAAGAATTTATTATATTAGTGTATAGTTTTCTAGTGTATCGAATTATATTTAATTATAATTATAATTATATTAAGTATAAATTGCATTATATTTAAAAAGACGACATTTCATATGCATCGACTTAACACTAAAAAAAAAAAAACAAAAGGATATAGAAGTCATTTTGAGTCACATAATTCAGATGATCATCTATAACAAAAGCAAAAACATTAAGCAACATAAATACTTACAAGTTACTATAATTTTATACTTTCCAAGATCGCATGTACCATTGATGACTCTTACCATTGTTCATTTTATACATGCAAAACAATATTGAGAATTTTCATTTGTTTAATTAACTGATATACATGTATATATATATTTATATAATGTATCAAGTATCTTTTTTCATGCACTTTCCACATACGTATCTGAATATGTATAATACTGAATCGATTGAAAGCAGATAACTTTCTTCAGACTTACTCCTGATGTTAATCACATCAGCACAAGTTTAGCCTAACCCTTGCATGACGCAGACTCAGGGTTAAAGAGAGTGTATGGTCAAATGAGATTAGGGAGGGTGACGTGTCACTGATTGACGTAATACTGAACTCTTAAGAAGCTTTCTGGATTTATCAGAAACGTTCGGTCGTGTGTGGATGTCTCTCACATTTACGATTTTATTATTTATCTAGAAATTTTACATATTACTAATATTTTTTCACACAGACTCGCGGTTCTTTTATGCATTTGTTTATGGTTAAAAATTGACTCTCGTGTGAAAGTTATAATGTAGTAATTATAGTAAAATAGTGTATCACCTTGTCGACATTAGCTTAGCATTTAACGATATTAAGGAATTAATGATTGATGAAAAAGAAACAGGGGCAACCTTAAATGTCTCTAATTGTACAAAAAATAATTTCACTCTGTACAAGTTTAACTGAGGATCAATTGTACGACTTGCTATGAAGAGCTCAGAGAAAGAAATGAAAGTAACGTTGTTGCAATTGAAGATTGAAAAATAAAAGTCCATTCCACTGGAATGAAAAACAAATTCATTCGTATTGAATTCGGATTTCTTCAAAGAATATTAATTTTGTTCATTTTCTTGGTCATTGACTCTTTTTTTTTTTTACTCTGTGGCGAATTATCGCGACCAAAGTGTGTATGAATTTTGATAGAAATTAAAAAAATTAGAAATTCCAGGGATACGTTTCAATTCATTTATGTATTTACGAGAAATTTAAATTCGCGAGAATGTACAGGGCTGGTTGCAATACTTACGTGACAGGCGAATTTGTTTCACAGAGCTTAACTTTTTACAATCACAGCTTAACTGTTTATAAATCATAACGAAAGATAGAAAAAAAAAGAAAATAAAAAATCGAAGAACGTATTTATGAGAAATTTAAATTTGCTAGAAACTACTAGTTAACAATATTTATACGATGGGCAGAACAAATCTCTGTGTAAGGATTCATTTCTATCTGTGTAAATTTTATAAATAATGAATTTCCACGAAGTCTGGCAACAACAGATGATTAACGTTATTTGCAACGCGCGATACACAAGCTTAAAGGATAGACGCCTATCAATGGTTGCGCAAGCGTCCAGTGGATTTAATTTTAAATATCATTTCGAAGCCGTACGAAGGGTACAAAGCGATTATGCGATCCGAAATTTTCAGAAACTTTCACTCGTAAGAGGAGGCAGCTGACTATTTCAGGTGAATCGCTAAGTGGAAGTAACCATTCTTTATTAATAAGCTGCGAGGCGAACTAATATTGGAACGAAAGTAAAGCCTCCAACAAAGTAATGATCCAAAGGAGAAACCCACTGAACAATAAAAACCGACGTTTGGAATTATCGACACGTTGCTTCGACTGACATTAAATGATAATACATTGGAAATACATTACAAGCCTAGCTGTTGTTGCAACATCATCACGTCATTAAATCGTCAATGAAGAACGAGCTTGGAATTGTGAAATTGTTGGTTAAACGCAAGAGGAAATTGAAAGAATGGGTGTGTGTGTCGTTTGTAATTATTTCGTTTGAAGTTGTTTGAGATAAATCGATAAATGTCATACGTATATGTACATACATATGAAAGAGACTTTGAATAGATAAGACGAACCGATGGAAATATCTTATTGACATTATGTGCCGTATACGTTGGCCGATATTTAGGTAACGATCAATTCTGAATAACGTGCAGACGTTGCAATTGCAATGATACGATAAAATTGGGTCTTGAAGCTGACTTCCTAAGCGAAACAGAGACTTCAAATACAAAAACTTGAATGAAATTTTATTTCATCTGTTGTCGAGAGTAAGATACTAGTATTTACGGTTAACAATATAGTAATAGCAAGTAATAATAATAAAAGTTAAACGCGTTAAATCGAACGAACTGTCTAAATAAATGTCAGAAACAGTGAGAAAGTATATTAATAATAATGATAATAAGAAAAAAATACAGTAACACTTCCTCCTTCGGAGAAACAAAAGGCACACGATCATTTGTGAAACAAAAGGAAAAGATGAGAGACGATTCTTACCTCGCCGCCCATATTGGTTATCCCTATGACCGATATCAAGATGGAGGCGTCGGTTTCGCTGAAGCCCATCTCGATCGCGTTGTCCGTCAGATAGACGTAGGGCACGTCGTACCAGGTGTGCAGAAGGAAATTGCTAATGGCGAACAGCAAGAAACGCGAGTCAGCGAAATGAGAGAAGTCAAGCATATCGACGACGAGGTCCCAGAATTCCCATAGACCAGCGTACCAGACGAGCTTGGTCTTGGCGATGGTGGTCATCGAGTTCCTATAAATATCCGGGCAACTGGACGCCCTGAGCCGATATCGATTTATATTCAACATAGCACCTCTGTACGTAAGGCTGTGCCTGTGCACTCGGATATCCTTCAAATAGGCAGTGGGTAGTCTCCTGGTGTGCTCGAGGGTGCTGGACCTCCTCAACGAGCTGTCCAGATTGATTTTCTTCAACCACCACAGTCGCCAGGCGGCGTCCGTTTGCTGTTGAACCGTTTGCTCGTCATTTGGCAACGGTTTGTCGTCCTTGTTCTCCTCGCTTTTCAACTCGGACAGAGAGCTCGGCGTCGGTACGAACCTGGCCGATGGTGTGCTCAGCTGATCGTGAAGCGGGCCGGAATCGCTGAAGCTTCTCGAGGAGATCAGCAGGCTTGGGTAATTCTGCAGCAACACGTTGTACACGTTCTTACGGGTGCTGAGCAGCTCCAGCACCTCGAGCGGCACCTTCTCGCCGTTCTTCACGAACGTCGGCAGGCTCACCAGGCTGGAAAACAGCTTCTCGCCGTCCTCCGCCTCCTCCTCCTGAATCCGTATGTTCTCCATGATCGTCAACGTATTCAGCGAACTGTTCGCGGAGAACGAGTCCACGCTCGAGCTCTGTATCCTGGTCCTCTTCTTCTCCCTGTTCTTCCGTCTCTCCTCGGTCTTCGCCTTCGCTCGGATGGTGGTCCACTCGAGGTCCCTCATCAGGCAGCCGCAGACCGCGAGATTGAGGAACAAACCGGCAAGTATCAGCGTGGTGCCACGCCAGCCGTACTCGGCCAGCAGATACTGCGTGACCGGGGCGAATATGAACGTTCCGATGCCGCTCCCGCACACGGACAAACCGGTGGCGAACGATCTCTTCTTGTCGAAGTAGTACGCGACGATCACCACCGCCGCCACGAAACACAAGGACAGACCGAAGCCAGCGAGAACGCCGAACGTGAATATCAGAACCTCCATCGAATTCGCGTACGAGCTTATCACGAAACCGGCCGTGGACAGGATACTGCCCGCTATTGAAACTCTTCGACAGCCGTACCTGTCCGTGAGGAAACTGGCCACGGGACCGGACAACAACGGCATCGCCATGAACAGGCTGCCAATCCAGGCGGTCTTCGATTTCCCCTCGCCGAAATAGTTGAGGAATTCCACGTAGATCACGCCGAACGAGAACGTGATACCGTCGGCTATGAGGTTAACCATGAAGGAAGCTGCGACCACCACCCATCCCCAACCGCCGTCGGGCGGCGTTGCCTCGCACAATTGCCCCAAGCTGGAATTATCCTCCGAGCTGCTGGTGGTCGACGGTGGGATCGAAGGGCTCGATTGCGGCCTCTGCTCGCGGGAATGCTGCTGCTGCTGCTGTTGCTGTTGCTGTTGCTGTTGCTGTTGCTGCTGCTGTTTCTTCGAGTCCTTGTTAAACTGCACGTGGTGCTGTTGCTTGTCCTCGCGCGGCGATTTCCCGTTGACCAGTTTCTCGGTGCTCTTCTCGGACGGCGAGTGATTCTTCGACAGGATCTTCGTCGGCGAGCCGAAGATCGAGTTACGCTCGGCGAACACGCTCTTGCGTTTCGGCGGGCTGGCAACATTGTCCTTGTACAGGCTGTCGGGCTTCTTCACGGAGTTGTGCGACAGTTCCTTCAACTCGTGTCTAGCCTCCTGACGGATCTTCGAGCCAGGCTCGTTGTAACCGTCGTACGCCGCCTTCTTCTCCAGGCAATTTCGCGTCTCCTCGTCCTTCTCGATCGCCGCGTCGTTCACGTAGCTCTGATCGTTCGGCACCTTCGACTGTATCTCCTCGGAGAGTATACCGATCTGATCGGAATTCTTTCTCAATCGCGAGGCGTTCTTCACCAACGAATTCAATTCCGACGACGCGGTGTCGCTGACTTTCCGCGACTCGGCTCTACGCGGCGTTTCCTGGGACGTTCGGCTCACCGATGAACATCGTCTCTCGATCAACAGCTCCTCGTCGCTCTTCCGCGACGGTGTCACCTCGACGTTTCTCAAATCGCCGCGCGACCCGCCGGTACTGTCCTCCTCTTTGTTGTTGCTCTCCGTCTCGATCGTGTCGCTCGATTCAGTCAGCTTCTCCTCGCCATTAAACTTGGCCCACTCGGCCATGATGACGCTATCAGGAACAAGGAGGAGACCGCTCTTGTCTCACGTGCAGTCCTCGAGCGGCCAACGCAACGACATCGAACCTATTCTTTCTTTCTTTCTTTTTTCTTTTTACCGATCTTTCAATTTAATTAATTTCTCGTTTTGCTTCTAATTTCGTTATCCACCTCCCCCTCCCCGTTGCTTTACCGAGCAACCTCTGTAACAAGATCAATTCGTTCCCCTTCTCTCTGTGTTCTCGTGGCACTCTCTTAAAAAAACGCGCGCACCGCTAGAAAAAAAAAAAAAAAGTCATATCGCACTGGCGGATGAATGAAAAGCTGATCGCACTGATCGCGTGGAGAACAGACGCGATCGGATTCAAAACTGGTCTAGTTTCGTCCTTGATTTAAACAACGGTAAACCGGGCCACTCGTAAAGCTGTCTAGTGAACTGACGGCGTAACGGCAACAACGACGCTGACGACGATCTGCACGAATTCCTATAGTTCCTCGTTGTACGCTGGTGAGTCGCATCTGGGCCGCCACCATCGCAAACGTGGCCCAGGATGCGGAATGCTTTCCTTCTTCTCGGGCCCTGGTTAATCGGGACCGCCTCCTCCTCCGCGAAACGATCGTCAACCCAGGCACCCATACGGCGAACGGTACTGCTTCGGCTCTTGCGGTGTATTCTACGGTGAAAATGCATAACACACGGATTAGTTTATGCCGCGTGCCATCGACGTGCATTATTACCGGACACCTCCAACTGTTTTTAGAGGCGCAATGTCAATTAGGGCCTGTACTGAAATTTTCAAATTTCGACGAATCTGCACGCGGATGTCCAAATGTTCAAATCGCGCGTGACGAATTTTTGGGGGAGGGGAAATAAATTAATTGACACTTTTGCGATGAAGTTAAAAAATTTCGAAAGAGAGAAAGACTACTACTGTTTCATTTTTGTGATAAAGTGTGGATCGTCTGAAGATTGAAGACTGTGGAGAATATAAAACAGATTAATCAATGCTCTTACGATAAAGTGATATTCTTTGTTAATTATACATCACAGATTGTATTGACTGTACCTGTGTAGTAAAATTTTTCATAAAAAAGGGAAGACTACTATTTTTATGACAAAGTAATTTGTTATATATGATAGATCGTCTAAAGATTGGAGAATGTAAAACAAATTAATCGATACTTTTATGATAAAGTAATATTAATTATATATCACAAATGTATTAACTGTACCTGTGTAGTAAAATTTTTCATAAAAAAGGGAAGACTACTATTTTTATGACAAAGTGATTTGTTATATATGATAGATCGTCTAAAGATTGGAGAATGTAAAACAAATTAATCGATACTTTTATGATAAAGTAATATTAATTATATATCACAAATGTATTAACTGTACCTATGTAGTAAAATTTTCATAAAAAAGGGAAGACGACTATTTTTATGACAAAGTAATTTGTTATATATGATAGATTGTCTAAAGATTAAAGACTATGGAGAGAATGTAAAACAAATTAATCAATACTTTTATGATAAAGTAATATTAATTATATATCACAAATGTATTAACTGTACCTGTGTAATAAAATTTTCGAAAAAGAGAGAGAGACTATTATTTTTATGATATTAAAATGCAAAAGATCGAAGTATACTAAGAAATTTTCTTTGGAAACATACGTGAAAAATTGAGTTTGTATTTTGATCCATGACATTTTAAATTAATTGTTATTTGTGATATTTATACTATGAATTATTATTTACTATATTTACTATGATTTGAAATAAAGAATGTAATTTTTTGAAAGCTTCATCATGTTGCTTCAAGTGGATTCTCTTCATATGTATGAATAAATGAATGAAGAGATAAAAATTGACAAACCAACTGTAATTGGTTTATCTATACTTCATTTGGATTGCGTTTATGTCATTCGAATTTATTGATAGCTGATGGATCAATAATTAATCGAGAAGATATGGAACTTACAAATGTTTTCATTTTAGATGAATATCAATCTGATATTGAAATATTAAAATTTGATTTTAATGATTACAACGGAGATCTGATATCAAAGCGTGATTTGATATGGTTCACATTTTAATGGTTCACGACAGCCTCTGTTATAATTTCTATTTTAGTTTTCAAATTGAAGTTTTGATATTAATTTAGAAAAAAAAATGTAATAAATCTAATTACTAACTAAAAAGAGTTAAAATTTATTCTGATAATTTTTCAGTCAAACGATCCGCAAATAAAATCAAAATATTCGAAATTGTGTACCGATATAATTAGTCTTAATCTGTCGTCGATTACGATCATCATGACATGAAAAATGTTTTATTTTAATCTGTCGATTAATCTTGAAAATCTTGGCAATCAGGAGGAGACCAGTTCATTCTTCAGCATTCAATAAAACTTATTTTCCTATCTATGTTTTTAATCGATCGTGGCCATGAAAACTTCCAAAAATATCTTACAATATCGTTCTTAAACGTCGTTTCCATTATTAATAGCAATATTCTACATCCTCTTTACGACTTGAGATTATGTGCTTATATCGTATTTGATAATTTATCGAATCATGAATTCTTGTAATCAAGATTGTAAATTCAACGAGACTAGATTTGATCGTGTTTCATGATCACTAGACCATGCATATTTATGCATTTTTCAATTTTCACGAGTCTGAGCGAAGAAATAGAAATTTATTCCCTCTGCATAAATGTTGCAATACATTACTTTGGACGTTTTAAGTATTCACTGCAGTATTCATACTCACTGTGTGTGCTTTTGCAATTTTTACAATTTCAATGTTCCACAGAAATCCACACTTCAAATTAATTATTTTCAAACTTTATTTCGACGCGAAAATAAAATTCTTCTCGTCGAAATATTTAAATTTACTAACTAAACAATCTCAAAAATAAATTCGTAAATATCCCTTTCAACAAATTTGGATCCGATTTCCTTCAGTTCAGTCATTTTTAGCAATAATAATTAATTATAATAATTAAATTATAAATTTATAAATATTAAAATATTAAATTATAAATTTATAAATATCGAATTATAAATTCATAAATAATTAATTATTCAATAATATTTGCAAATTTATAATTTCAAGTAACACCAATATCCCCTAAAATGAATGCATTTCGTAATGTATTATATAAATACTCCTTTCAATAACAGACTTAGATTCGTTCCACAATTATTTCTAACAATTACAACCTATAATATTGTGCAAGACTGCTGCTTGTAAGCTTTTTTTCGACTGTAGCTTCTACAATTAAAAGATCGATAAATTCATGCAATATTAAAAGTCACTTTTCATTTATAAATATTACACAATACGTAAAATACTTGTCCCAGAATTCCGTCGTCCAACAGACCAATTTCACGCTCGATTATGTTCGTCAAGCGCTGCTTTAAATTAATCACAAATTCATTTATTCGGACAAGTATTTCATAGTATATTGATCAGTATATTTCCCCGTTTTCACGAGGCCGGTACCGGACGAATGGAAAATAAGGATGCAATATCTAAAGTACACTCGGCGCGCAAATACAATAGGAGCCGAGAGTTCGTACATACGAACGTTCGTTTCGTCTGACCTTGTTTTCAAGTTGCGCCCATTTTTATGCCGTATCAATTGTTCGGGACGCCTTCGCAGACACTGCCATCAACAGCTTGATACGCGGAGGAGCATTGATTGCTAATACCCAAATGAGATCGGTCACGTTGATTAATTCGTGACGAGAATGACCGCAGCGCAACCATGGTTGCAATTGAGAGAGATAAACGTGAACTACGATAAATTATATTACGAAATATTTTTCTTCTTTTCAATTACTTTTAATATATTTCGTAATTTTTCGAAATATAATTATATTTAACGTTTTGATAATTATATGTAATAATTTTAATATAAAATTATATTTAATAGGTTTTCAATAAGCGTCGATATTCAATTGAAATTTAATTCAGTAGTTGGATCCTCTTTCTTCCGGTTGTTCCAGCTTTTGACCCAATTTTGACGAGTCACTTCAAATTTATCTATTTATTCGTTCATTTGCGTGATTAATCTAGCAATTGCATTCTACATTAGAAATCTAAATATATTACGTATTAAATAATGTTCTGTCATCAGAAATTAGTAGAGGATTTGTCTGAGTTACAGTTTTTACAAATAATTTCAACGATTCTTTGCAGGATCCTTCATACACGTCGATAATTCTAATTTTTACGCTGGAAATTATAATTTTTACGCGTATCTAAAGAATAATTCTTCAAATGCATAGACAATTTTTAAGTTGCGATTCTAAAAATTAATATTTGACATTATAGACAATTTTTAAGTTGCGATTCCAAAAATTAATATTTGACACTATAGACAATTTTTAAGTTCCGATACTAAAAATTATTATTTGACATTATAGACAATTTTTAAATTGCGATACTAAAAATTAATATTTGACATTATAGACAATTTTTAATTTGCGATACTAAAAATTATTATTTGACATTATAGACAATTTTTAAGTTGCGATACTAAAAATTAATATTTGACATTATAGACAATTTTTAAATTGCGATACTAAAAATTAATATTTGACACTATAGACAATTTTTAAATTGCGATTCTAAAAATTAATATTTGACATTATAGACAATTTTTAAGTTGCGATACTAAAAATTAATATTTGACACTATAGACAATTTTTAAATTGCGATTCTAAAAATTAATATTTGACATTATAGACAATTTTTAAGTTGCGATACTAAAAATTAATATTTGACACTATAGACAATTTTTAAATTGCGATTCTAAAAATTAATATTTGACATTATAGACAATTTTTAAGTTGCGATACTAAAAATTAATATTTGACACTATAGACAATTTTTAAGTTGCGATTCTAAAAATTAATATTTGACAGTATAGACAATTTTTAAGTTGCGATTCTAAAAATTAATATTTGACATTATAGACAATTTTTAAGTTGCGATTCTAAAAATTAATATTTGACACTATAGACAATTTTTAAATTGCGATACTAAAAATTAATATTTGACACTATAGACAATTTTTAAGTTGCGATACTAAAAATTAATATTTGACACTATAGACAATTTTTTTAAGTTGCGATATTAAAAATTAATTTGCAAAATTAATTCGATTTTTTTTTTAGTAACATTCCCAAAAATATAATTTCACGCAATCTGCTCGCAACAAACAACCCATTTAATCGTTTTACAATCGTTTTTCAAATCTTATCTAATCGGTTTACAAAAGTTCAAACAAAATGATCAGACGAATCTTTCAGCGATTCGAAAAAAATCGCTGTACGCGTTTCTTCTTTCGTATCCAATTCATCGCAGCGGATCAACCTAGTTAATGATAATTAGCAATCGACGAAGAAACGACGAAGATGTTGCGCGGGGCAAGGATGAAAAGTTGAGCGTACAAGCGACGTCAGAAACAGAATTCTCACGTCGTCATTCTGAATTCGACAGAGAGACGGCGTCGACGTTGAGATTTGCTTCTGGCACTTCGTAACTAGCCGAAGTAGCTCGAGTTAGAGTCGGCGATTATAAATGAAGTTCATTGTGTATGAGTTGCTATCAATTTAACAGTGGCCACGACGATCACGTGCGTATCTTGCGATCTCCTG